ACTTGCCAAAGGGGGCAGTACAAGATATTAACGCTGCAGGGTGCCCAAACTTTTGCAGACGCCATTTTTTTGTTTTCTGTTATTTTGAAAGTGTAAATGATGGAAATAAAATCTAACTTTTGTTGACATATTATAAGAATGTCTAATTTGTAATTTGATGCCTTTTGGAGATTTTTCCATCTTTCCTTGGCTTCTTTATGCCATTAATACAAATTTTTAGCTGGGGTGCCCAAACTTTCGATCCCCACTGTATGTACCCTGACCATTAGGCAAGAAGCTTAAAAAAAATAGATAAAATGAATTCAGAAAAAAGGGTATTGGAAACTGGATGGAAAAGTATACTTTCTTTGCAGCTCTGCTAAGAATTTGTTGTGTTAAATTTCCTTAGTTGACCTTTTAAGCACTGCTTCTGCTTGACTGTGTTTAAAAGATTTCCACATAAGTTAATGGAACTGGCACACAGATTAGTTTGCCTGCAGTAATGTAGGAGATATACTGTATGTATTGCAGGAGATTACTAAAGCAACTTAAAATCTTATATGCAGAATGGATAATTTTTGTCAATGTGATTCTTTAATTTCCTTTACCCCGACTATAGTTACTATTTGGATGTATTCGTTATATATGTTTCCACCTAAAAGAAGAGGGCTTAATGACTGTTATAAACATGGACCACTCTGATTCAAAATATTTTAATGTTCGTACCAACATCCCTATTCAGTTAGTAGTATATACCCTTTGAGGTGATTGTATGGGACTTTTGAGGTGCCAAATATTTGTCTAGGTACATTTATAATGTTGAATATATTTTTCCATGTTTCAGTTTAAATTACAAATGTCATTTTTAAAAACTTGCATCGAACAGCCATTACGTTATAACCACCCATTTAATATTCAGTAGTTTCCCATTTTTGCTGCGAAAATGGTCCAGACACATTGAGGCACAGGCACCATTAGATCTCTGAAGGTATGTTTGTGGTATATGGAACCAAGCTGTCAGTACCAGATCCTTTAAGTCCTATAAGTTGTGATGTGGGGCCTCCATGCTCTATTGGATTGAGGTCAGGAGAAATTGGAGGCCAACAACACCTCAACCTTGTTGTAGTGTTCCTCAAACCAATCTTGAGCCATTTTTGCAGTGTGGCAGGGCGCATTATCCTGATGAAAGAGGTCACTGCCATCAGGGAATACAGTTTCCATGAGGGGGTGTACTTAGTAACAATGTTTAAGTAGGTGGTATCAAAGTGGTATCAAAGTAACCTCCACATGAATGCATACCCCTGTCATTCATGCTGATGTCGTACTCCATTGTGGTGATTGAATCCGGACGCCTCCCCCAATTTAGAATTGCTCATCATCCCTGACATTCAATTGTGGGTCTCTAGAAGCTCCAAAATCTTCTGTTACTCCCAGGTATTTCTCTCAACCTGTCTTTACCCAATATTGAAACAAATTGCAGGCATGGGCTCATCAAATCAGAATTTCAGCTTCCCTTTAATTTTATGCTCTATATCTGCTTGCCTCACAAATCACGCACTGCTCATCATAAGTTCAGTGACCCCCTCCTTTTATTTCGGACTACCTAATTGGTGTCATCCCTTGCCCTAGACTGTGATTCTTAGGTTCGCAGTTTTCAACTAAAAAGCTATGTCCACTTTTACTGTAGAAAATGGTCTCTGCTACCCCTGTCATTCATGCTCGTACTGCCATTGTGGGATAATCCACGCCTCCCCGAAAGCTGGCCCAGGTATTCTCCAGTGCAACCCAATTAAATCCTGATGTGGTTAGGTTCGCAAAAAAGCTATGTCCACTTTCTAGAATGGGGCCACAAAGCTGTTGGGAGGCAAATGTGGGGGGAGTTGGAGGACGAAGCCTGGGAAGAGGTGCTAGACTCAAGGCAGTCTCAGCGAAGTTGTCAGTGCCTTACTCGTACATACTTCATAGAACCTACCTGACACCTATTCGTTTATCTATATACCGGCCACAATATAGTCCGCTTTGTCCTAGATGTGGGGCTGCCAATTGCACCTTTTACCGTCTCCTTTGGTCCTGCTCTGTTATCCCGGGTGCTGGTTTCAGGTTTTTACATGATAAAATGGGCTCCCCTCTTACCCTATGCACTAAGCAGTGTTTTACCGGGCTTCTTTCCTGACTTGGCGAGCGATACATTTCTTAGTATTTTCCTTCAAGAACACTACCCTATAAGAAAGTTATTTACACACATAGAGGATGTTCCGCTAAATATAATAAAATATGGGATAAATAGCTAGATTCCACTTCAACCTGTGATGAGGATGATGAGGACTTATGATGCTGTTGTTATCCTCAGATGTTAATTTATTGTTCCCATCTGCCTTAAATAATTTTTATGATGTGCATGGTTCAAACCTGGGTCTGCTGTTTTACCCTTTTGGTATCCAGAATTATGACACTCCCCGTGACTTCAGATTGTATATGATGTACCTCCTATTTCCAACTATACCGACTCACTTTGCAATATACATTTTTGTTATTCCCAGTTCACTTGATTATGCAGCATGGTCTATTCCACAACTTTATTCATGGAATGTGTCATCATGATGTTCTTGACCTTGTATGATGTATAATGCTGCATTATGTGTTTCTTTATTAAAAGGAGTCATCAGACCAGGCCACCTTCTTCCATTGTTCCATAGTCCAGTTCTGATGTTCATGCGCACACTGTAGGTACTTTTGGTTATGGACAGCTGTGATCAGCTTGGGCACCCTGACTGGTCTGCCGCTATGCAGCCCCATACACAACAAGCTGTGATGCCTTTTTCTTTTTTCTGCTTTCAACACATCTTCAGGGACAACATCTTTACTTGCTACCAAATATCTCCACCAACTTTTTCAGATGTCATTTTAATGCGATAATCAGTTTTGTTCATTTAACTGGTTAGTTATGGTTGATCAGCATACTTCCCTGACTATGTGTCAACACCATATTTGGAGTATCTACAAATCATTTCCATACATTTTCCTGGACACTACCTTAATATACAATCATATCACAATAATATGTGGTTAACTTTCTGACTTCTTAATTTACATGTTTTGTTAAACTGCTTTCAACTTCCACAGGCGTGTATGGTTGATGACCAATAAAATCAATATAGCCTGGCCTGTTTGCAACTAGGCAATTGTGGACACCATCTGGACAAAGAGGGGAGACCAGGGCGAGCCATAGAGAGAGCAACACCTGCTTCCCTGAAATCTTGGTTGTATATAACAATTAGAGCTGATTCACACATGTGGGGGTTGAAACTCAGGTTTCACAGCTAATTGATACAGTAGTTGTTCACGTCAGGTTTACATCAGATTCAGGACAGGATTAGGTCAGGATTTTATCTTGTTCACACATATGCGGTATAGAAACGGTTCCCATAGAAGTCAATAGCCTGTAATCCGCACCTGATCTGGACCACACTGTTCAGAAATTGTACATGACTCTTTTTTTTTTTAAAACGCACTGAATCCGCTCCACCAGTGCACTGGACATATGTGAACAGGCACCATAGGAAGCAATGTTTTTTTAGATATGTGGATTGGATGCGGTTCAAACCACATCCAATCCGCATATATGTGAACCAGCACTTAAGCGTCTAATAAAAATAGATTTTAGAAAGCTGTCCCACATATTTATCAACTGGGTTGACATCCTCCAGGATAATCCCCTCTCCTATTAAATGTGGAGCAGATTAGAGAAGTGAAGCCTCTGGTTAGTGTCTGCCCTGCTACTCTGGATCCTCCACCCACTGCTGACAGTGAAAGTTACACTTTTGCCTGCTCCACTGTTGTCAGGTTTGTGTGTGGGGTTTTGGAGCAGTGGGCAAAGCAAGGCAACTGCCAATTGGTGTAGCAGGGTAGGGACAAGCAGGAAATATCCTGCTCAGTGCTCTGGTGGGTACCTAGTTTAGGTCCTAGTTTAGGTAGTGATGATGGCACACTGCCTGCATAAAACTCCTAGAGATTGAGATGTCAACCACATATAGGCAGACTGCTGGGATGACTGTTTGCAGAATGTGCCTTACTGCTGCAATTTTCAGCCCCGCTTTTATATCTCATTACAATCTTAAACAGATACAATAAAAATGGACCCCAGATCACATTTATTTGCCCCGAGTTTAGCTTTTAATTAAACCATACTAAAATAATCCAGAGACATTTCTCAGAAATGCCCTTTTTCTACTAAAACTGGTGCACTCAGAATCTGGCACATTGTGCCACAAAAAAGTTGACCGATGGCAAAGGACTAGACACTTGTGCTGCCTCTGGTTTACCTGCGGCTGGTATTTTCCCCATCAACAAATGCGAAGCCTTAAATGCTTAAGAGTGGACCCCAGAGGTGGCATTGGTCTAGAGTCCCATCCTGGTTAATATGGACCTGCCGTGCCTTCCTGCCTACTCAAGACTGGGGAAGTCTGGATACACTGAAATCAAAAAACAAAACAGTGGGCACACCAGATGGGTGCATTATCCATAAAACATTTGAAGGTTCAGTAGCGACTGCCAAATCTGAGACTAGCAATAACATTTGTAAACGTTCATTATAACCTAGCACGTCTTAATGTTTCCTGCTAATACAGTATGAGGTCCTAACTAAAGTTCACAATTGCAAAGTTCAGATCTTTGCTGGGAATGTATGCAAAATTGCTTGCATTCCCAACACGCACAGGAACTTACTGCAGTTTACCAGATGCACGTTGATGCCATTAAATGTTAATGGCATCCCCAAGCATCTGCAAATGTGCTCATTTTCATCCCGCCAAACCACATGGTGCCCCAGCTATGTGGGGTTCCATGTGGTGCCTTTTTTGGAAAAGTCAGGGACTACTTTTCCATATTTCTCATGTGTAGGGCAGCCCATTCTTTGCAATGGGTGTGAACCAAGCTTAATAATGGTGAGAAATGTATCCTTTTATATGCCTTTTTAGTGTAAAGATTTTTTTTTTCTTTTCCTTTAGGCATTGTTTAATCGCATGATCACAGAAGAAATGGAAATGAAAGATAGGATTGAAAAAAGTATTCAACTGTGCAGAAAGGAAATAAAGACACTATGCTATGAGTTATCATTAGAGGAGTACAAGGTGAGAAATCCGTATTTGACACTCTTTGCTCACCTATTAAGCTTCCTTGTTACATTAATTTTTGGTCATTTTTCAGATGGATGAAAGTTTGACTATTCTTCAGATAGAGAGAGATCTAAGAGTGAGATTAGAGCTTCTTATGAAACACAAGAATGAACGTCTTGAGGAACTGAAGCTCCTACAAAAAGACGACCAGGAATTATGTTCTGATCTTTGTGTTACTCCATATTATATACCATCAGGGAGCATACCAAGTCACAAACAGCTAGAAGAGCTCAAAGAGCACATCAAGGTTCAGTCTGAAGAAAAGGTAAAATTACATAAATCATTCATGCTTACATATGAATGTGTAGCTTCAAAACTATATCTATATATAAATCTTAAGTTCAAGAAAAATGGTGCTCACTACTGGGTGGGTGCTAAAATACTACAGATGGGTCTGCATACCTTCCTTAAATACAGCTGAAGTTCCTTCTTACCACCTCTGCTCCCCCAGATGGCTTTCAATTTATTCCTAAGGAGGATTATGATTGGAAAGTTATGATTACCATGTGTACACTAAAGCCGCCTAAGATCATAATGGCATCCTGATAAAATTAGTAGTTGGCATGTTTTTTTTTGTTCTCTTATTTTCTAGCAACACCTCTATATTAGATCACCTTAGTGTCTTCTAATCATATGCCAGTACTGATGGTACCAGAAGTTTACTTTGGTTAAATCTATCTATTCAAGCATGTAGTCTTAAAGCGGAGCTCCAGCCAAAAGGGGAAATTCCGCTTTAAGCCTTTGTCCCCTGCTCCCCATTAAGGATTGGCACCTTTGGGGAGCAGGTACCCGAATTTGACAGGTACCCACTTCCGCTGCCATCGCCTAGGCGATCGGAAGCAGAAATTGCCCTCCCCTCTTCTGGGACATGTGACAGGTCCCAGAAGACTACGGGGCCATTCACAATGCGCAGCGCTTCTCGCGCATGCACAGTGGGCACCCGGCTGTGAAGCTGCAAGCTGTCACAGCCAGGTGCCCACACTGAAGATGCTGGTGCCAGGGAGAGAAGGCGGCCGGTGAAACCAGCGGTGGTGAGGACACCGCTGGACCAAGGGACAGGTAAGTGGCTGTATTTTAGGTCAGCAGCTACAGTTTTTGTAGCTGCTGACTTTTAGTTTTTTTTTTCAGTTGGAACTCAGAAAAGTATCTTTTATTGCTCTTGGCCTCCTCCAACTCCCAACTTTCTGTTCGTGTCTACATTTGTTTTCTGTATGTGGAAACGTAGCCATCCTCTCTTGCTCTGTCTTAAGATGGACTGCGGACTATGGAATTTGCAGTGACTGCAACTGATATGCACGGTTTGTTCCAAACAGAAGTGACAGGGGTGGGGGGGGCGAAGAGGTTTGGGACCTCTGAGGATATTGCAAGGAGACTGAAAAACACAGTAAGGAATTATTCCACAAAAATACATTACAGATCCAGTAGGTAGTGGATCTGTATGGATTTAATTTGGGGGTTAAGGATATCGTGTCACTATAAATATTGAGAATATGTTTGTCATGTATCAGCCTATGAATTGTATGAACTTTTTGTTCTGTGTAATTTTATGTATCAATGAAATATGATATACAGGACAAGTTTATCTTTTTACTGTAGAAAAAACGCCTTGAGGTCTTTTCCTCACTTAGAGCAGAAATCCGACAGTGTTTAGACGAAATAGGACGACAGCCTGAAAATTCCCTGGAGCGAGATGCCATCTGTGAGGATGAAGAAGCTTTTTTTCTCACACCTCAGAATATTAAAGCTCTTAAGGTTTTAAAAGAACAGGTACGTCCTTTAAATGTTCAGTAGATGTTGTCTGTATCTAGTAGAAAACGTCATCCCTGATTCTGCTTAATTTTTCTAACAAGTACAGCCTTAGTTTAAAAATGTTAATATGAATGGTTACTAAAATATAAACTTAAAGAACAACTTTATTTAAAAAAATCCTTCCTACCCTCTATATCCCACTAATCTAATATAGAACATCCCACACACAACCACACGTGTGCTTGCTTACCTCTCTATAACAGTGGCAACCTCCTACTGTGCTTACACATGTGGGTCCAAAATCTTCGCCGTTGGTCAAGTCTGTGTAGTTACTCTCCATAGACTTGCCTGTATTCCAAAGATGCTATAAATACTGCTTCATTCGTATCAAATAAGCATTAACTGTGTTAAGGCCAGCTCTAAGAATTTTGACATTCTAACATTTTAAGATTTAAAAATTACATTTTCTCCAGTCATCTTCCAGGACTGCACACCTGAAAGATGACTAGCTCCACCTGACAGGAAACAGAATAAAAAAATGACAGTGTTTAAATTCCCCGCCCTTTCCTCCCCTCCTCCAGTGTTTTTGTTTTTTTTTTTTTATTATTATTATTGTGTTTCCTGGCAGCAAAATGTTTATTTTCCTCTGACCAAAGGTCTGGGGCTGGAAGGTCTCCACTGGGGGGTGAACAGCTGAGCCAGAGAGAGCAGGCTGTAGCCAGGAGTCACCCAGGGGTTTCCAATGCAGTGGAACTTCCCAGGCACTGGGGAGGAATGCCTGGCATTCCCTGGACGAGCATCCTTCCTCCCTCTTCTGGGGCAGTGGGCAGGTGGCTCTCGTGGATATGGGGCTGGCATTTCTTGTGTGGTGCACCCCTGTTAGGTGACAGGACGGCCACGATGGAGTCCGTGGCTAGTCTACCTGAAGCCCAGTGGGCGGAGGGCAGGGAGAGCAGGTCCGTGCACAGGACCGGAAGTGGAAGCGGGGTTGTATTCCAAGCCTCGCTTCCAGCACACTTTTAGTGAGGGTGGGACTTCCGCCTTGAAGATGGAGATGCCGTTTAGCGTTCTCCCTTCCTTGAGAGGCTGGTGAGAAACCTCCAGGGTTTACCCCTGGAAACAGACCTAGGGCTCGGCGAAGGCAACGCAGTCCCAAAAAGCCCTCCTGAGGATGGAAGAGAAGGAAGTAGCTGCAGCCAGTGAGAAGGCCACAGGTGGTGAGACTGACTTATCTGGTGGGGGAGAGGAGGGGAGGCAGGCCCTTATCCACTCGTTTACAGGTGTGCTGGGGGGGGACCATTTAAATTAGCCCCTTTTGTGTTTTCTTACCCAAGAGGGCACCCACAAGACACCCAAGGATATGGCCGCCCAAGTCGCACCCCCCCCCCCCCTCCCCTTCCATTCCAAACGTTGTGGTTATTTCCATTATAAAGATGCAGTGATCCCGAGAGGAGAGTCTTAAAGACCTGGAAAAGACTGTACACCTTGAGGAAGAGAAATTCTTCAAGATCTGTCCTTTGAGGACACTGGTAACATCACATCAAGCATCAGATTGACACTGTTGCATAGAGCCTGGGAGGCTAACGCAGCTACTATGGCCCCAGCCTTGGCATCCTTTTGCATCCCTAGGAATACTGATGCCTGGGTGCATAGGGTTATTGAACATGTCTCTCGGGTTTCCAATAAAAAGCCCAGACGGAAGAGGTGTTAGAATCCCTGGAAGTGGTCAGTAAGGCAGTTGTCTATTTAGCAGATGCTGCAGTAGAGGTGGTCAAGACGTCCGCTAAGACAGCAGCTCTGATCAACTCAGCCTGGACGGCAGTGTGGTTAAGTCCTGGGATGGCGATCACACGTCAAGAGCCAAGCTCTGCGGTCTGCCCTTTGAGGGTTCCTTGCTGTTTGGCTCAGGGTTGGACCAGGTGTTATCAAGGCCTGCTGAAAATGGAAAGACTTTCCCCATCAGGACTAAGAAGGATAAGGGTAAGAGGTTTTTCCGAGCCCTCCTTAATCAGAGCCAACAAACATGTAGGAAGGACCCTCCCAAGAAGTGGGCCAGTAAGGGGAGACAGAAAGGGAGCTTCCTTTTTTCTGGTTCCAAACCCACCAGTAAGGATCTCCAATAACATAGATCCCAAGGTGGGCAGAATTCTCTCCAGGTTCTTCCAGCAGTGGGGGAAAATTTTGAAAAGCCCGTACATCCTGCAGTTGATAAAGGAGAGGTATCAGAGTTCTCTTCACTTACCTCTCATGCCTTTGTGTTGACTTACCCCCCTCCAAGACAGGACAAAGGCAGAGGGTCTCTTGGGAGAATTTTAGCGGATCAGCTGTTTTGGGGATTTTATACCCACGTCTTTGTGGTCATGAAGCCTTCAGGGAAATTCCGGTTGATCATAAACCTAAAACGGTTGAACGGGTTCCTGTGTCACAAAACGTTTTGTATGTAGAGTATTTACAGTGTTTACTGAAAGGAGTGTTTATGGCCACGGTGGACCTCAGGGACACATACCTCTATGTTCTCATTTCCCCAGAATACCAAGCCGTTTTAAGATTCGCTATATTCACGCAGAAGGGGGTCAGTCATTGGCAGTCCCGAGCCCTTCCATCCGGGCTGGCAGTCAGTCCGGGAATCTTTACCAAGGTCCTGGCCAAGGTAGTGGCGTATTTACACCTCCAGCCCCAGAATCTGAGGTGAGGAAGACCGTGGGCGCAGTGGGACCCAGTGAGGGTAACCACAGGTGCAAGCCACTTGGGCTTGGGAGTTCATCTAGAAGACCAACAAGCTTAGGGCCCATGGGAGCCACACCTAAGGAGGACTTCCTCTAACTACAGGGAGTTGTTGGCAGTAGGTCAAATCTTGAAGTTCTTCAAAGACAAGATTGGGGAAAAGAAGTCCAGATTCTGTCGGACAATAAGTCAGCAGTAGCATGCCTGAATCATCAGGGGGACACCAGATCCCAGAAACTCATGGACCTAGCTCAGGAGATTCTAGGATGGGCAGAGAGCAGAGTTCTTTCGGTGTTGGCGGTCCACATAACGGGCTCAGCCAACACGAAAGCAGACTCCGCCAACAGTTAACCCTCCAGGGAGAGTGGGAAGTAGATCACGAGGTCTTTTTGCAGTTAAGTCGGGTCTGGGCAACCCAGAAATAGACCATTTTGACTGCAGGAAAAGCAGGAAAGTGAGTCGTTATTTCTCCATGGCCTAGGAACAAGGGTCTGAGGGTCTTGGATGCATTAGTGCAGGAACAGGACTTGGGGCTGGCAAATGCATTTCCCCCTCTGGCATTGATTCTGTGAGTGCTACAGAAGTTGAGCTGGTCTAGCTGCAGATTGATCCTGCTAGCTCCATGGTGGCTGAGAAGAGCCTGGTTCGCCACCTTGAAGAGGTGGTCCGTGGCTCCCCCACAGCGTCTCCTAGTCAGGAAGGATCTTCTCTTGCAGGGGCCAACACTGCACCTCAGTTTTTCTGTTAACAGCCTGAATCATGAAAGGGAGATCCTTTAGGAGAAGGGGGTGTTCTGAGAAGGTGACACACTCTTCTCCTCAGTAGGAAACCGATGACTAGGAATATATATACGCCAAGGTTTGAGGTGTGTTTTTTCTAGTTAATGTAAAAAAAAAAAAAAGGGGGGGGGTGTCTTTCCACGGTCCCTGTGATATTAAACTTTCTCCAGGTAGGAGTGGATAAAGGAATAGCGGTAAACACCCTAAAGTTGCAAGTGGCAGCCTAATCGGTCTATTTGGACCAGACACTTGCATCAGAGCCCCTAGTTAAGAGGTTTTTGGGGGCCAGGGAGAGAGTAACCCCTATTAAGATTTGTTGTTTTCCGGCTTGGGATCTAACCCTGGTGTTGGAGGTTTTAACCAAGCAACCATTTGAGCCAGTAGCATAGATTTCAATTAGGATGTTATCTGTTAAGGTAGCCTTCCTGTTAGCCATCAGCCATCACAACTACAAGGTGGACATGAAGTTGAGAGTCACCTTTTGATTTTGTTATTGGCCCGAGGAGGGTCAGCAAGCATCTAAACCGACAGTAGATAGATGGATCAGACAAGCCATCTACCTAGCTTACAAGCAATCTGGTTTCAGTTCCTTTACACCTGAGGGCTCACTCTACTAGATCGCTGGCGACCTCTTGGGTGGAGAGGGCTGTAGCATCGATTGAACAGATCTGCAAAGCAGCCACATGGACAAGCCAGGACACCTTCATGAGACACCACATAGTAGAGCTGTTGTCGCCACAGGACCTGGCATTCGGCTAGTCATCTCTCAGGTGTGCCATCCTGGAAGCACTGTTACTGGTAAGTGTAACAGGTACTTTTTCAACTGGAAGCTGGATTCTTGATCCATTAGGCTTATGTGAATTTATGGGAGGTGAGCCTAACTACTACTACTACTTTGAGCTATAGGAAACCTAAATAGCTGGTGTGTGCTTAGGTGGCGTTAGCCCTTAAATCTAAGAGAATTACTGGCATGATTTGCTACACCTCCTTATAGACTTGAATGAGGCTGTATTCGTAGTATCTCTAGCTTTGGAACATAGCCCATGGCTCCCCCTGCTTTTAATCTGCATAGTGAGGAGGGAGAGAGCACTTGTGCACAATGCTGGATCGAGATAGAGCTCAGGTAAGTATTAGATGGTAGTGGTCTGAGGGGATCCTCTGGCACAGAAAGTTTTTTTTACCTTTATGCATAAAGGTAAAAAACCTCAAGGCTTTAGACTACTTTAATTCTATAAAGGGTCGACTGCACAGTCTTTGTCAGTGGCCTGGAGGAGGACACCACTGAAGCCTGGTGCATATTCTTTTCAGTGTATTCAATGAAAAGAAAATTAAATTAAAATTTGAAAGCTAATAGTCTCTGCACATTCATGTAGAGCCATCATTTCAGAAAATCTGTTATGATTTTGACCCTTTGTAAGCAATCAATCACTTTTAACGCCTACATGACAGTTTATTTAAACTATGTTCAGACTTCTCAGATCCCTTATATTCATCATGCCATGAATGGCAATCTATGTTGGATTTTGAGTATTCATTCATTTAACATATTTTTGATTTGGGGTGCGGGAGGGTTGGGAACTTAAGCAGCTTCCGAATGTTTTTAATTTTGCTTATTTTTTGTGCTACAGCTAGAAATCAAAAAGGAAGAACTCTTATCTATTCTGAACACACTTAAAGAAAAAGTAGGGGATTTATGGAATCTTTTGCAAATTAGTCAGGAAGAGAGAGAAGTATGTCAGAAGATTTCTGGAAACCCTATTTACGATGTAATTAAAGTGGTAAGTGTTTATAAGAAGAAATGGTACAACAAATCAGCTTATTTCAGACATATACTGCTAAGAGTAGTGTGGTTTATAGCACTATTTCTCAGACTGTGAGGCTTGTGTGGCATCCAAGCTAAGTAAAGCCTGGGGCTCTTAAATTTAAAATGTTTCTATTTTTCGGTTTTTCCTTTTAGATCACTGTATTTTATTACTTTATTTGTATAAATAATGCAAAGTATAATCAATTAATGTAGCTTTAAAATTTATTGTGCAAGACTTGTGAAGCCCCAGGTGTCATCTGTAAAACTATTAATGCTCAAGTTCCAACTTTTACTACCATGTGAGGCCTTGATGAAAACTGGTGAATTGAAGCAGCCTATCAGAATCTGCATTTAGTAGCTTTGCAAACTGTGAAAAGTTGATCTGTGGCTGGCAGATATGGATTAGATATGTGTGGGCATTAAGGCCCACCCTCTTTGCTGCCGCACATATGTGTTACATTTGTGGTAAGAGGTTAACATACTGGCTGCTTGTTAAGAGAGTGGGGTCAGTCCAGAGAGGCCTAATCAGCAGATCTGTCAGGAATCCTAATGTGGTCCACAGGAATATGAATCCACGCTACCCTGCTTGTAGGGATTCCTAGTGAAGCAAACCCCATTACAAGTTTGTAGATAACAGGTAAAGGCATAGTTTCTATACCATAAAGACTTGCTGGCTTCACCTTTTAGTAAATATTTATCAAACCATGGAGCCACATTCCTCCTGCCATACACTTCCCAGACAACACCACATACTTTGTTTTGATAATATAATATGGTGACAGCATTTACTGTTAGTAGCTTTACCTGCTGCATAACTTGGATTTTGAATCTTTTATGCCCATTGAGATTCTCTTTCACAATAACATTGGCACAGTGACATAACTTTTTTGAATGTCCATTTTCAGTGGGAAAATGAGCTTGGACGACTGGAGGAGATGAAGATAGCGAATCTGAAGCAAGTAATCTTAAAGATAAGGCATGAACTAAAGATATACTGGGATAAATGTTTTTATAGCGAAGAACAAAGAAAGGCATTTGCACCATACTATAGTGGTAAGAGTTAGTAGCCTTTGTGGTCCACAGTCGCTCCTGTTATATTGTGCTAAAATATGGAAGTTCTTGTATACAATACTGTACCTACTAAATGATTAAGCTAGTCTGTGATTAAAGGTCCCTTTCATAAATAGGGCATAATTTGTAAATACTGTTTGGCTTCTGGCCAATTTAAAATTACTGTTTTGCAGAAAGTTCAGACCCTTTAGTTCAGTACACATCAGAGGCTGCTTTCTCACACATCTAGCTGTTCACTGATTAGGATAATAGATGGTGGAGTGACATCTGACATGTGACTAACCTCTTACAGGTTTGTGCAGCTATAAAGCTACACACACACACATAAATGTCACGAAACCTTCCTCAAAAAAGAAAACAAATTAGCCAGTTGTACATGATACCTTGTAACTCACCTCCCACTTTTTTTTTTTTCAATGAATAAGTGTCTTATATGTGGGTTCGTTCAGGAAAGAGAGAGACTACAGGTGAAACTCGAAAAATTAGAATATCGTGCAAATGTTCATTTATTTCAGTAATGCAACTTAAAAGGTGGAATTAGAGATGGACTCATTACATGCAAAGCAAGATAGTTCAAGCCGTGATTTGTCATAATTGAGATGATTATGGCTTACAGCTCATGAAAACCCCAGATCCACAATCTCAGAAAATTAGAATATTACATGCAATCAATAAAACAAAGATTGTACATAGAACAATATGGGACCTCTGAAAATTATAAGCATGCATATGTACTCAGTACTTGGTTTGGGCACCTTTTGCAGCAATTACTGCCTCAATGCGGCGTGGCATGAAAGCTATCAGCCTGTGGCACTGCTGAGGTGTTATGGAAGACCAGGATGCTTCAATAGCGGCCTTCAGCTCTTCTGCATTGTTCGGTCTCATGTCTCTCATCTTTCTCTTGGCAATGCCTCATAGATTCTCTATGGGGTTCAGGTCAGATGAGTTTGCTGGCCAATCAAGCACAGTAATCCAACAGTCATTGAACCAGGTTTTGGTGCTTTTCGCAGTGTGGGCAGGTGCCAAGTCCTGCTGGAAAATTAAGTCAGCATCCCCATAAAGCTCGTCTGCAGAAGGAAGCATGAAGTGCTCAAAAATCTCTCCTGGTAGATGGCTGCGTTGACCCTGGACTTAATGAAGCACAGTGGACCAACACCAGCAGATGACATGTCTCCCCAAATCAGCACAGACTGTGGAAACTTCTTACTGGACTTCAAGCATCTTGCAGTGTGTGCCTCTCCATTCTTCCTCCATACTCTGGGTCCTTGGTTTCCAAATGAGATGCAAAAGTTGCTCTTATCAGAAAAAAGGACTTTGGACCACTGAGCAACAGACCAGGTCTGTTTTTCTTTAGCCAAGGTAAGACGCTTATGAGCAGCTTGACAAGAGGAATACGACATTTGAAGCCCATGTCCAGGATCCGTCTGTGTGTGGTGGCTCTTGATGCACTGACTCCAGCCTCAGTCCACTCCTTGTGAAAGTCCCCAACACTTTTGAATGGCCTTTTCCTGACAATCCTCTCCAGGCTGCGGTCATCCCTGCTGCTTGTGCACTTTTTCTTCCACACTTTTCCCTTCCACATAACTTTCTATTAATGTGCTTTGATACAGCAACATCCAACTTCTTTTGCAATTACCTTTTGAGGCTTTTCCTCCTTTAGGAGGGTGTCAATGATGATTTTCTGCACAAATGTCAGGTCAGCAGTCTTTCCCATGATTGTGATTCCTACTGAACCAGACTGAGAGACCATTTAAAGGCTCAGGAACCCTTTGCAGGTGTTATGGCTTAATTAGCTGATTAGAGTGGGACACTTTGAGCCGAGAATATTGCACCTTTTCACAATATTCTAATTTTCTGAGATTGTGGATTTGGAGTTTTCATGAGCTGTAAGCCATAATCATCACAATTATGACAAATCACGGCTTGAACTATCTTGCTTTGCATGTAATGAGTGTATCTCATATATTAGTTTCACCTTTTAAGTTGCATTACTGAAATAAATGAACTTTTGCACGATATTCTAATTTTTGGAGTTTCACCTGTATATTACACATGTCTTGAGACCATGTAGGGAGAGAGTAGCTCCCCCTCTTTAAAATGGAATTGTAGCACAGCTCTTTCATGAATTTATGGTGTGTGTGTATATTGTAATATACATAATTTAATTCTCGGAATGGGCATTGGACTGTAAAGAAACACCTCTGCACTCTTCAAAAGATCGGATGAAATTTGAAGACTTCATTCTTTCTGATGATCTGTCAAAATTCAAGGCACCATCTTTGCAGAAATCTTTTTCATTCACAAATCCTCCATTAGAATCTGCCACACTGTTTCCCTGTTCATGATTCAATTCTCCTGCCGTCCTTTGCACATTCAATCTTCATTCTGAGCATAGGAGGGTTCACACTATCCACATTGCATCTGTCCTTTGCATTTTTGGCTGCCCACTTCTTGCGTCATTGTTGACATCTTTCCACACATTCTTAAACTGCCTATGCTATTCAAAATACACTTAATTTTTTCATGGAATGTTTACCCTAAGCCTCTTGTAACAGAGCAAAAGTTTCACTCACACTTTTGCCAATTTTCTTGCAAAATTTTATGTTAATCAACTGCTCCAGATTCCTGTTACTCATTTTCCACCAAGAGCACAATGCACACACGTGTTATTTCTTCTACTGCATAAAGATTGAGTCAGCTTTTCTGTGACCTAGGCGAGTGCAAGTTAGAATATGGCTGTGTCCCACCACCTTAGTGCTATGCTGTGGGCTTTCAGCATTCCAGGAATTGAATTTGTCATAGAGTGTGTGTGTGTGTGTGTGTGTGTGTGTATATATGTGTGTGTATATATGTGTATATATGTATGTGTGTATATATATATATATATATATATATATATATATATATATATATATATATATATATTAGAATTTTTTTATTTGGGTTCAGTAAGAACATCACATCTAATGTATGAAGTAAATTGCTGTGCATACGTGGCATGAAAACTTTATGCTTTTGTGTTACAGATGACTTCACAGAAGATCTTTTATCCCAGCATGATAAAGAAATTGTGAGACTGAGATTGCAATATGAAAAATGCAAGCTAATTCTTGATTCCATTGCCAAGTGGGAAGCAAACTGGTCTCAGTTTGTAGCTCTGGAGGTTATACATTTTTATTTTTTTTGTTTTTGTTTAAAGAATGTAATAAAATTGAGTGCCTTTAGCTCACCAGCTGCATTGGTTTTATAAGGCTTAATTTTATCTTTGTGGTCAGTGGCTGTGCTCACAAGCAGTTTTGTATAAAGTAGGCAAGCATTAGAACTGCTGCCAAGTCAGAGTTGCACCGATTTGAAAAGTAGTTCCTACACTACTTTTGCCGATTTTCAGGAGATGTCTGCAAGTCACACCATGTGACTTTGTACTTGTGTGACATCAGTTGAAGTTCCTAAGTTCCTCGATTTATAATTTGTATGCAGTGTGAATGGGGGCTTAATTAAATTTTTTTTTTTTTGGCTAAGTCCCAGAGATCAGCTTTAAGGGGACATTAGAAATGAAAGTGAAAGATCTCCATAGATGTATAAAATCTTTCTCACATGGTCCTTGTATCCATGTTGCCCTAATAAGAGCAGTTCTTGCTCTGCAGAAATGTCATTGTCCTTTTTCAGTTCAGCATTAAGAGCTCAGATAAAACAGTGCAGCGCTAACATTATGAAAGTTCAATATAAATGACAGTCTATGTGACTAAAGGTGCCAGGTGACTGGTTAAAATTCGGTGGTGGTGCTCCGTGAAAAATGGCAGAATTTCACACTCAGCAGATGTGCAATAGTTATATGCATTAAGTATCACATCCAGGGTTTCCTAATCAGATATAGGTCTGGTCAGGGCTTAGGTGGTCCTCCCTCAGGATAGTAGTCAGCAAATGCCCAGTAACAAATTACTCAGATCCAGGTAACCAGAGGTCCCTTTTAAGTATTAGGTAGAAGAGGCTGCCTGCTTACAGGATAACTTCCTTCTCTGGATAAGACTGGTGGGTAGGCAACTGGATCACAAAAATGGGCTCTGCAAATAAATACTCCTCAAAAGGAGTTAGGGAAGGGTGCCATAGTGTAGTAACAAAGTATATTGAAAAAAGCAAGTGTTTTGCAGTAAAAACAAAATATACAGTATCAGGACTGCAGAGATGAACTAACCCTCCAGAGTCAAAGATGGCCGCCGGGCCTCCACGTGGCTCTGGCGGCGTAGCGTCACGACGTCCTGACACCTCCTTAAGCATTAAGAGCTCACTTTCCTGGGGGAAAATTCAGGCACAAATTCTCATGATGCCTTTCCATAGAAAGAGGGGACAGACATAAACTGAAATGTTGTGCTTTGGAGCAGAAAGTGAGTAGACACATGGCAAGAAGAGATTACACTGGATTGGGTAGCTTCTGCTTTTTGAATGTAACAACCGAACATGTGTGATTTTGTTTACTGGTAAAGAAATACAAATTGCCTCTACACATTTCATTATTTTGCTGCTTATTTGGTAATTGTGTTTTTGTTTGTTGTTGTGTTTTGTTTTGTTTTTTTTTTTTACAAATGAGAAATTTCTTGTTTTTAATTGTATACATTATCTTCCAGAAAAAGGCATTAGATCCTAACAGATTCTCAAACCGAGGAGGAAGTTTACTGAAAGAGGAAAAGGAACGTGTAAAACTTCAGAAATTACTGTCTAAGGTAAAATAAGGTGCATTTTTGAAACTTCAAATCCACATTTGAATAATCTGTGAATGTGTGTAACATAAATATGTTTATCTCTTAGCTAGAGGAAGATCTTAAGGCTAGGATAGAAGTATGGGAGGTGGAACAAGAATGTCCATTTTTGTTTAATGGAAGCAAGTTTATGGATTATGTTGCAAATCAGTGGGAAACACTCAAACAGCAGAAAGAACGGGAGAAACAGGATCGGGTGAGTGCTCTTCCAGTGCTTGTGGCAAATATGCAATTTTCTGTCATTCTCTACTTCCGGAGGTATTGGTCTTATGATGGTGTGCTTGATATTTACTAAAAAAAATTTAGCTTTTTTTTTTTTTTTTTTTTACAGACCCAGAAAAAAGAAGACCCTCTGCCATTTAAGACTCCAATTAAAAGACCGGCAGGATCATCTACGCAGAGTACTCCAAGTAACAAGACCCGGAAGGCAAGTATTCAAGTAAACAAATTCTTGCTATGGTACCATTCTGTTTCCTATGTGAATTTTATTATTTATTACAGGTACTTGTATAGCGCTGTCATATATATTGTACATTCACATCAGTCCCTAGCCTTCATGTAGCGTACAATCTAAGGTCCCTAACTCACATTCATACATATATACTAGGGCCAAGGTTTAACCAGCCAGCATGTCTTTTTGGAGTGTGGGAGGAAGCCGGAGTATCCGGAGGAAACCCATGCAGGCATCAGGAGAAAATGCAGATTTCAGGCAGGTAGTGTTATGGTTTGACTTCAAACCAATGACCCTAGTGTTGCTAGGCAGAAGAGCTAACCATGTAGTTCAAGTGAGAATAAATTTCTCCTTGATTTTTTTTTTCCTTTCTTTTCCTTTTAGCAGCTGACTTTGATCACGGAGTATGCAGATTCTCCATCTTTTGGTCCTTACCTATGTCCCTGTATAAGCCAGTGCAATGACTGGCTTATGGTTTCACGGTAGCTTCTTTCTCTTGCAGCATCCTATGGAACCACCCATGCATGTAGGCATTAGACTTGTATCTCCTTACACTTTGTGATTTAAAAGAAACACACCACCTAGTATGGCAAGGCACTTCCTTGCCCCTTTCCATTCCCATCCTCCCACTTCTCCAAACTTAGACTGACTGGAGGTGACACTGTTCAATGCTAGCCACTTCCTGTGACGACTGGAAGTTCCAAGAAGCAGCACGGAGAGAGCAGGAGCAAGCAGCGTTGCAAGATATTTAAACTGAAAGTGCTGGTATAAGAATTTCAACTTAGTTTACTAGTGAATGTTTATTTTATTGTGTTAAGCTAAAAACTCTGAGGTTTTAATATTATTATGAGGGTTATGCAAGTACAATGTTTGTATACATAGTTTATTCATATGGTCAGCAATTACTATACTTTTTTGCTGAGTAAATGTAAAATGCTGCATTAGAATGTTGCCTTCTATCTAGTTTGAAGGTGGAGCTTTAGTTTTCTTTTCCATGTAGTAGCTAGATCACATTTGCTGGAAGAAGCTCATTGTTAAAGTATAGTAAAGTCAAAACGTTTTTTTTAGTTTATGGATAGAGTGCAGAGGGATTGGAACACTTGTCGGTTTTTATTTCTGTCTGTGCCCATATTAAGGAGATTCACCCTCACTATTTGTCCTGTTTACCATTACCATTATTGAAAGTAAAGGAAACCTGGGCAGAAATGAGGAATAAATATCGAGCTCCTCACACTGAATTTTTCCGATTCCTACAAATCAAACAATGGCTGACCTCGGGGCTCATTGATAGAGACCCGACGACTCAATTGTCCTTATTCGAACATATTTGTCATCGGACTCCTTTTTCCCCCAAACTTATATTGATTCTTTATTCACAGTTGAATAACCTCTCCAATTCAAACAACCATGCTTGCATTTCCAGGTGGGAAAGGGACCTCAAAAGCACTAAAGATAGGGGCTGCTGGGCACAAATTTGGACTACCTTGACTTCCTGCTCTATCAACATCTCACTGTTGAATCGGCCTTTAAAACTGTCACGAGGTGGTACCGGTCTCCATCCCGCCTGCCGCACCTTCACCCGTCAGCCCCCCGCACTTGTTTCCGGGGATGCCCTACCATGGGAGATGTCCTCCATATATGGTAGACATGTCCTAGGCTCTCCTGGTTCTGGACAAAGGTACCTGAACTCTTACAATCTTTATTTACCTGTCCCTTCCCAAGGGACCAGTGGCATATCCTTCTGCACCTGAGACCCCCAGGCCTCACCAAACTGCAATTTAAACTGGCTACCTATATATTACTGGTGGCAAAAAAACCCATAGCGAAAGCTTGGAAACAGTTTACTCCTTTCACGGATGTTCACTGCCGCCTAGATTTCTTTTTTGTCAATGAAAAGCTCTCCAGCATTCTTTTCGATACCCATGAGAAATTCTTTAAAGTATGGGCTCCATGGATCCAATATGGCCCATCCTTCTATATGAAAGGCCTATTTCACGTTGCTATAAATTAAAGAGACCCTACAGTTTGGGCTCGGGTGCTCTTGATGTCCTCCCCTTTATTTCTATCTCATGCTCCTTTATCCTCTTTATCCTTTTTTTTCTTTTTTTTTTTTCTTTCTTTCTTTCTTTCTTGCTTTCCTTTCCTGTTCTTGGCTCTCCTGAAGGGACAATTTATAGTTTGTTCTCATATATTTGTCTGTTTTGATACTTTGCTCAGTTAACTTTTTATATACAGATGTCCTCCTCACCAACGCCTAGTTTCATGTTATAAGCTTATAGTTTTTCTCCTGTTATCCATATTATATCATTGTTAGGACATGATCCGTATACCTTCTCATACACTTGTTAAAGTTTTTCTGTTTTATGTACGACCGCACTCAAATTGTTTGTCATTGATTCTATACTTCCACCTGTACACATGACTGCGGTTGCAAGTGTATCTTCTAAATGCAAACATTTTTCAATAAAAATCTATTGAAAGTAAACGAAAATCACACATTTTGGGTTGTCCCCTGAAAAGTAATAGAAGGGAAATCTTCCAATGGGGACACTAGTTCTGATGAAATGGGGATCCCCAAGGAATTCCCTTAATTTGTAGGGATTTCCTTTCACTTCCTTTTTGACTATGGGACAGGAAGTGAAGGGAAATCTCCCCAGTGAGATACAGATGGCAAAAAATTCTGACAGGTTATAACCCTTTCTTACTTTATCCAAAATGAAAGAAAAAGTTGTACCTATAGTTTTTTTTGTTTTTTTTTTTAAGCTCAAGGTAAATAAGGCAGAGCAAGGACTTGTCATGACAGGGTGCATCTCTGTGCTCGCTCTTTACCAATAGTGCTATGGAAATCCTTTGTGGTATATTACCGTATTTTTCGCTCCATAAGACGCACCTGACCATAAGACGCACCTAGGTTTTAGAGGTCAGAAACTGCGGACAGAAAACAGGTAAAAAAAATTCTGAACTAATGGACTGCAGACACAGTACAGGAGATGACCAGAGACTGCGGACAGTACAGGGGACTGACCAGAGACTGCGGGACAGTACAGGGGATGACCAGAGACTGCGGACAGTACAGGGGATGACCAGAGAGAGACTGCGGACAGTACAGGGGATGACCAGAGACTGACAGTGCGGACAGTACAGGGGATGACCAGAGACTGCGGACAGTACAGGGGGGATGGGACTGCGGAAGTACAGACCAGAGACTGCGGACAGTACACAGGGGATGACCAGAGACTGCGGACAGTACAGGGGATGACCAGAGACTGCGGACAGTACAGGGGATGACCAGAGACTGCGGACAGTACAGGGGATGGCCAGAGACTGACCAGGGGAGACTGCGGACAGTACAGGGGATGACCAGAGACTGCGGGACAGCACAGGGCGGACAGTACAGGGGACCAGAGACTGCGGGACAGCACAGGGGATGACGGACAGAGGGGACCAGACTGCGGGACAGCACAGGGGATGACCAGAGACTGCGGACAGCACAGGGGGATGACCAGAGACTGCGGACAGCAGGGGATGGCAGGGACTGCGGACAGTGGGGACCAGAGACTGCGGACAGCAGGGGATGGCCAGGCGGACAGTGGGGATGGCCAGAGACTGCGGACAGCACAGGGGATGACCAGAGACTGCGGACAGTACACAGGGGACAGTACAGGGGACCAGAGACTGCGGACAGCACAGGGGACTGACCAGAGACTGCGGACAGCAGGGGATGGGGACTGACCAGAGACTGCGGACAGCACAGGGGATGACCAGAGACTGCGGACAGCACAGGGGATGACCAGAGACTGCGGACAGCACAGGGGATGACCAGAGACTGCGGACAGCACAGGGGATGACCAGAGACTGCGGACAGCACAGGGCGGATGACCAGGGGAGACTGCGGACAGCACAGGGGACTGCGGACAGTACAGGGGATGGCCACTGACCAGAGACTGCGGACAGCACAGGGGGATGACCAGAGACTGCGGACAGCACAGGGGATGACCAGACAGGGGATGGCTGCGGACAGCACAGGGGATGGGGACCAGAGACTGCGGACAGCACAGGGGGATGGCCAGAGACTGCGGACAGTACAGGGGATGGCCAGAGACTGCGGACAGCACAGGGGATGGCTGCGGACCTTTGGGGAGGTGGGGAGCGGGTACCTGGGTACCTGAATACAGGGGATTGGCCAGAGACTGACAGGTACCCGCTCTTACTTCCGCAGAGTTTTTGTTTGATCTTACCTGTTCATCGATCCAGCCGCGCGCTGTCTTCCCGGCTTCTGTAATGGCGCTCGGCATGACAGCCGGGTGCCCAGTGCGCATGAGTGAGAAGCACTTGCGCTTTGTGATTGGTCCGGCGGCTTCTGGGATCTGTCATGTGTCCCAGGTACCGCCTTACCATTCACAAAAAGCACCGCTTCTTGCGCATGCGCACTTGGCGCCCGGCTGTCATGCCCAGTGCCCACACTACAGAAGCCGGAAGACAGCGCGCCCCGCTGGATAGAGGAACAGGTAAGATCAAAGAACAAAGAAGTAAGAGCGGGTACCTGTCAAATTCAGGTACCCGCTCCCCACCTCCCCAAAGGTCAGCAGTCATCTCCATAAGGTCCCGCTGCAGAGCTGAGCGGCCGACCCAGTATTCTGACACGGCCGCGGTGGAAATACCGGACTGGCCGCTCCATATTCGCTCCATAAGACGCACTGACATTTTCCCCCCTTTTTGAGGGGGAAAAAAAAGTGCGTCTTATGGAGCGAAAAATACGGTAAATGTTTGTGAAAGTGTGAAAGAGTTTGTGTATGCTTATTTACACACGCATCTACATATATTAGAGAAAAAAAAAAAAAAGTGAAACCCGAAGCAACGTATCCCTTTGTGAAATTATGTCTGCTGAGTGTCTGCCATGTGGTCTGAAGGAGCCCTTTTTTTTTTTTTTTTTTCTGTGCATGCATATTGTACAGTTGGGGGTTGGTAGATAACCAGGATACTATGCAATCATTTCTACTTTTTTTTTTTTCTTCATTTTCTTTATTTTTAGTAGTGCTTCAAATATAGAGATAGACATGGTTATAAATTTGCAAATTTTATGTTCGTGTTATACCTGAGGAAGACCATGGTAACCCAAAATGTGTTGTATTTTGCTATGTTGCCTTAATAAGTGGGATATTCTCTTGAAAAGTCCCTGTATATAGACGCTACCCAGGTATAAAGGCATTCATACGTACAAAAACCAGTAAATGCAAAATGACCGTTCTCCTGCAATGTACATAACTATTTGTAACCCTGCAAATTTAAAAAATTAAAAAAAAATATATAAATATATATATGATTATTTTTTTTTTCCATGCTATTTGTGAGTATATCTCTTATGTGAAAATTTTATGTGCAGCTTAATGGAATGACAAATGCAACCATGTCGCGCACAAAAATGTTACCAGTGCCTTTGGAAACCAAACCTCAGCAGGAAAACCACAGCTTGCCACAATTAAAGTAAGTATTTAAGTAAGTCACCATGCCATTACAATGGTATTTCTTTACTATAGGTGACCTGGAAGTATTGTTTGGCAGTTTATCTCAGATTAAGAATAATAAGAAACTTTGCCAAATCCCTCATACAATCGATGTACATAATGTAAAGTATAGCTATTCTAGACAGTGCTAATGAGTTAAGAAAATTCCAAGGCTAATCTAATAATTGTATAGCAGGGCATACTGTGGTGTGTGTGTGTGGGTGTTTTTTTTTTCGGGGGGGGGGGTTGGTTGGTGCTTTAAGTGCCACGCAGTATTTTTTTATTTTTTCTTAACATCCAACAGAGCCCTAGCGTGTTTTCTTTTAGGTTCTTATTTATAGTAGTTTTATTCAATTGTTATTAAAGTAGCCCACAAGTATTCATTTAGTGTGGTTCTATGATCCAGATAAGAGAGTTAAGAGTGTTTTTTTTTCCGTTTTGGGTTGGATCATTCTTGTATCTCACTTGTGTGGTGCTAAACCCTCTGTCTGCAATATCTGCACACTATTGGCTTCATTTAAGTCAGCGTTGCAATTACTCAACATAAGACTGCTGGTTACGTCAAGTAGAGGTTTCCATGCTTTAATCCAAAAATATTGGCTAGAAATAGAAGAATGTAGCCATTTCTTCAAGAACTGGTACCTATTTAAAGATTTTGCTTCATCTTCTTAGACCTTTATATGATTACAAAATCAGCAGCACCAAACATATGTAGAACAGGGCAAACTGTTTTAAACACCAGCAAAAAGAAGCTGCCCAAAGGTATTAGATGAAGGAAGTAGGTATGATATGTATTTGTATTCTGAACAGTGCTGCATATTATGTTGAATGTTGACTTTATATGAAAATAATGTAACTCAAAGCCACAGGTAATAATATGTAGAAAAAAAAAAGACAACATCATAGTATATCTTACAAATGCTTTAAGCTATGAGCGGCTTTATATGCACCATATGCTGATTTGTCTGCAATATAGTAGTTAGAGGGAATCCCTTTAATCTAAGTATTTAACATTTTTAGAATACTTATGCTGTCTTCATTTAGGCAGAACTAAACATTTTTTGATACAAAAGGAAATTGCTACAGAGCACTTCCCGTGAGGTAATAATTTTATCACATCTCTCAGATGGTAGCACCACCCTCATCACCTGGCTTTTAATAAGGAAGTGAATGAATTGAATAGATTCTGTAAGATGGCATTTAGATAGTATGAAAAAATATAAATAAAACAAAAGGTAGCACGGATTTGTAAGTGTACATGCATGTACTAAGCTGAACTTGAAATTTAAAAATGTGTGCGCTAAAAAAAAAAACTTAGTGGAAACTGAACTGCATCTAAGTACTACAAACCAAAAATGCTACTAAATTCATATTTAAATATTCAAAGCAAACTCCCCCATCCATCAATGTCTCCATGCTTTATTGTGCTGTGAAATCATTTTGAAAAACGCCCCCTAGCATTTCTGGCAGTGGCCATCTTGAATAAGGGCAAGAAGATTCATGTATCATTTATTCCTGGAATCCATCTGCCTTTAGCTCAGGCATAGGCTTTCTCTCCCGAAGACTGCTGGGATATATGACATCATTTGCCTAGGCATGGAAACCAGGAAGTAACTGAAGAAATGTAAAAAAAAATTCTAAAACAAGTACATTTAATATACTATATATTTAGTAATGCTTGCAGCATAAGGATTACAAATTAGTCCATGTTTATTGAGAAAGTGAAGTTCCACTTTGAGGTTCTGCACTGGTGTAATATAGGGGAAATTCACCAGTGTTTGTATTGGTCCTGAGCCACCAACTAAGACTCTTAACAGTTAACTCTGACTGTTAAACTGATTAATATTCTGTAGACCAGTGGTCTCCAAACTGTGGACAAGAGGCCAGATGTGGTCCTTTGCCTGCCTTTATCTGGCCCTTGGGGCACTATTGTTCCCCAAAAACAAGGCACTATTCTAAAACTGACACCAACAATGGGGCACCATTCCTCCCATGGACACCAATGATGAGGCACGATTTCTTCCCCTGATATCAACAATTGACACTGCTCCTCCCACAGACATCAATGATGGGACATAATTCCTTCCACTGACACCAACAATGGGGCACTATTCCTCTGATTGACACAAACACCAATAAAAATATGGGTACTATTCTGATTGACCCCCCCTGCTGACAGCAATGATGGGGCACCATTCTTCCCACTGACACCAAAGATGGAGCACTATTCCTTCCACAGATACCAACAATTCGCACTATTTCTCCCACTCATATGAATGATGAAGCATTATTTACTCCCACTGATACAACAGCATTTTCTCCTCACAATGGCCATAGTCTGGCCCCCGGAATGCCTGTAAGTCCGTAAACTGGCCCTTTATTTAGAAAGTTTGGAGACCCCTGCTGTAGACTGACAAATCAGTTGCTCCAACAGGATCACTTAACCACCTCCAACCGATTTCCTTTATCTTGCACAGGTGACATTATGGCCATGTTTACATAGGCTTATCTTGTATAAAAGCAGTGGGGGGCAAATGGCTTTTGTAAAGATTTGTTGAAGCCCTTAAAGTTGAATTTAGGCATGGCCCAAATTTACCCCGACACCTCTCCCCTTCTAGAAAGTTTTGAGTTTCTTTCTGTAGGGGAAATTGCTTATTACTTCCTGTAATGTCCTCAGGTTTGTAAATATCTTGTAGGAGAAACTGCTGAGGGGAGAGGAATCTGCATTGTGCTTTGTCTATTTCTATTTACACAGGCATACCTCTTTAGAGCATTTAGCCTTCTGATTGGCCTGTCTCTATGCTAGAGAATCTCTGTAG